TAACTAGACAAACTTACGTTGGCGTATTACCACAAATAGAGTTAGTCCACTTGAACATGACTAGCTTGCGAAGCTTGCTGTCACCTGACCCAGCAGCAGGATCATTAACGAGGCCATGAAGAAGCGACCAATAGAGCTCAGCTGTCTGCTGGATTGATTTTGGGTCATTTGCAGGATCTGTTAAAGAATTTAGCAACTTTGATCTTGCAAGCTTCAATTCCCTGTAAAATAAATAAATTTATAATGAAAATATGTTAGGAAATTTTACTCCAGTCATAGAACAGTGCAACATGTTCTGATAATGTAGAATGCACTAGAACCCTCAATACTGGCAGTTTATAGGGCTAAGGCTATAGTTAGGGTTCAACGTTGATGGTTGGTGGTTAACAGTTAGTGTTTTTGTGTAACATTCCAGGATCCAGGTTTCAATACAAGCAACAAACTACACTGGTACTTTAGATCTAGTCATAACAATTATGGTTACTTCTAGTACAACAGCAGTGTAATGGCACAAAAATAACTCTAAAGGACTTCATTATAATTTTTCTCTCATAAATTACCTCATCTAGATGTGATATTAAATAATTTGAGGGAATGGCCTCATTACCCAGTACAAGCAATTCTGCTAGCTGTAGATGTGATTTGTCATCTGGGAGAATGACTAATCACTTATCATAATTACATGTATGGGTGATTTGTAACTATTACAGCACAGTGTGAAATTATATGTGGAAATCTGAATGCTACCATGTCATAAGGGGAAACTATCTGCAATCAAATGCGAGATAAATAGACCACAAAATGTGCAGGTAATCAACTGAGTGGTGTCACCTCAGTATACTGCTCAGCTAGATGTGCATTGTATCTAGAGTCATAGACTAACTATAAGAGTTAGTATGGGAACAAGTACACAGCAGGAACTGAATCTTAATTGTAAGCATTCCCTGTTAGTTACTTCTGAGAAGTATGTTTTCATCCAACTGATTGCATGCAGCCCTAATAATTTTTCATTGAAGTCAAACTAAAGTGCAAAATAGATGCATGCAGGCCATCCGAATTATATTTTGTGCAGTTCCAGAAAATATCCACACCCACCCCAAGGAAAGTTAACAGGACTTCTAAGGGGGAGGGGGGTTTCAAAAGCCAAATTTCTTTAAAGAAAGCGTGAAGCTATACCAGAATTTCCAGTGGGGGGAAGGGGGTTCAAACTAGAAAACCTTGCATGGGAGAAGCATGGGTGTTTTCTGGAACAACACATTTCAAAACTGTTTGAATTTACTTGAAGACCACCATTCTCTTGTGTGCTATTACTTCACAAGAGTAAATGCAAATCATTGATGTTTTCTTCCTTTTTTGAGTGAGTCTTAACACTTGTTCATGAGGTTTGTAATGTTCTTGTTCCAAGAGTACGATGGATCGGATAAACACAGCATTAGTAAACAAGATCTTAGTTTTTGCAAAATAATTTATGAGCTAAATTTTAAACTTACTGTAACAACATTAATTTCACACATACTTCAACTCAATTCAACCCACAGCTACAGGTAATATACGAAGTTGACACATTGCTTTCTTAACATTGATCTATTTTTCTTTAGGCTTTTTTCAGCTTTTGATAATTTTCTTTTTCTTTTCGCTAATGTTCTCCTTCACATCGATCGTTTTTCGTGTGAAGTGTTAATTTTAAAGCTTACATCAATAAGCTGAAGTATATAAACGTACTTCCAACATTTCTGAAGGACCTAAGACAAACAAGACAAAAATGGAGACTTACGACAACATTTTAGATGAAGAAGAAGTGGTTGCCACATTTCGAATTGACTCAAAAGTAACGGGAGCTGATGCCTTGATGGGATTTCTGTGAAACCAGTGCGCCATTTTGTTGTTTCTATTTTTAACTGCTAAGGTAATGGCTATTTTGCGATTTTGCGACCTATTTTGCAGACTTAAGTTTTGCTGTTATCCGCTGACAAATTTCCGGAAACCACCAGAGCCAGTGAATCAATCGGAAGTTTTCGGAAGCAAACGAGATATTTTGATTGGTACCGAACTTTTTCTGTAGTTGTCGGCCTTAGTCGTTTTATATATCAGCGGATCCCTGGGGACGAGAATGTCAGCGGACAAACGTTTGGAGTATGCTCAGTTACGCTTTCATGAAGGAGAAAACGCGGGAAGAAACAAAGTGTCGTTCTTCCGGGCGATTCACGCTCAAATCTCGAGCGAAATGTCCGTGGAAGCGAGAATTTTGGATTCCTTGAGGCCCATATTCCCACAGTTAAATGATCGTGTTTTGTCGACGTGCATCAGGAACGTGCAAGAAACGGTGGGAAGTGACCCAGCGACTATCATTCCAGGATGTATCGATATGCTCTTGACTGGAACTTTCAATGAAATAAACCTACCGGAGGAGAGATCCCTGGCTGCGACGACCCCTTTGCGAGAAGAAGTACCTGTAGTGAAGACACACTTTGTAAACGACGATGACGATGTTGTTTTTATTTCTGCTAACCGTGGCGGGACAATCGTCGAGACTCCCACAGTGATCATAGATGACACCGAAAGCCCGTCCAACGCCAGGAGAACAGTTACAAACCCGAGAAGAAATTTGCCGTTTGAAAGAAACACACCTTCCACGACAACAACATCCCCTCCTTCGTCTGATACGGTTGAGTATTTGCAAGATCCAGTCGAAGTTCAAACTGTTTCTGTTGCAGCAGACCCGATGAAAGAGGCCTTGGAGAACCTTTACTCTTTATTCCCTGATGTAGACGACGATTATCTTCAGAGTCTGCTTGACAGGTGGTCTCATATCCCGTCCTGTCAGGCCATCAACAATGTTTGTAATGAGCTGTTGGAGAAAAAAGATTACCCCAGAAAAGCATCTACTTTGACGACCCCATCAGCAACAACCACGAGCCCAGGCAGACCCCAAAAGGAAAAGGACTACATGAAAGACTTTTCTAGTTTTGTATCATGGAAGTATAGAGAACAGTGCTATCAGTTGCTTCAAAATGAATTCCGACTTATTTCTGTTAAATACATTAAGATAGCTCTTTCTAAGTTCAGAAATCACTACGCACCAACCAGGAGGTACTTGCAAGAACAGCTTCGTGTATCTAAGGCCTCATGTACAACTACTACTTCCACAACCACTTCTGCACCTCAAGACTCAAGTTTATTTCCATCATCAGAAGCAGTAACCAACTCAAATAAAGATGATCTTGGCGTCGATAAGCCTGCCCCAATACCACTCCTAAAGTGTGGGCGTTCACCAGTGCACAAAGATATGTTTCACTCAGCTCTTCTTGATGAGGAACTTCGCAGGGAGGTAGAATTTATGAAAAAATATGAGCTATCGAAATCAGAGGAGAGAGACAGAATATTTGCATTGACCTTGAATGATAAACAATATGAAGAAGAAGGCCAAAAGATCGAGTGTGGTTGTTGCTATGGAGATGTTGCTTTTGAAGACATGGTTCAATGCCTAGAGGGTCATTTATTTTGTGCAAGTTGTTTAATGAACTATGCAAAGGAGGCTGCCTTTGGTCAGGGCAAAGCAGCTCTTGTCTGTATGAGTGATGGTTGTGATGGAACATTTCCAATGAGTCAGCTACGTAAAGCCTTACCCACCAACATCCTGGAAAAATATGAAGATCGTGTACAGGAAGAATCCCTATCTCTGGCCCAAATGGATGATTTTGTGCGATGCCCTTCTTGTGATTTTGCTGCGATATTGCCACCGGAAGATAAAGTTTTCAAATGTCAGAATCCCACTTGTGCGAAAGAAACTTGTCGCTACTGCAAAGAAGAATGGTCGGAACATTTTGGCTTGAAATGCAGTGAGGTTGAAAAGTCAGCACAGAAAGACGTCAGGCTCTCTTATGAAGAAAAGATGACAATGGCAAAAATACGGAAATGCCCCAAGTGTGGATGCGAATTTACAAAGTCAGATGGCTGCAACAAAATGACTTGTCGCTGTGGAGCAACCATGTGTTATGTTTGTCGCAAGCCAAATATTGGCTACAATCACTTCTGTCAGCACCCCAAGGATCCCGGAAAATCATGCAGCAGATGTGCAAGTTGTTCTCTCTGGACTGATCCTTCAGAGGATGATAACCGTGCTGTCCAGGAATTAGAGAAGGAAGCCACAGAGGCAAAGAGGAAGCTGGAAGCAGAAATGGTAGAATCAGAAGACAACCCTGCTAAAAAGGTGAAGATAGGCTGAGAAGTATAATTATGCATTGACCAGCATGTAAAGAAAAACATATCTGATGGCACAGGGCTTGCAGACTTTGCAGTTGAGCCAGTCAATTATATCCTCTGCCTGCTGGACAGACAGGGGAAGTTGTTTAGGAAGTTTATTGAGGAAATTTAAATTGCCGAGGTTCAGTACCACAAGAGATGAATTACATGTATTGAGTTACTTTGCCTCTCGATTCATTAGTCATGTTCAAAAGAATTTTTGCCTTTTTCTGACAAATGAGAATGATTTTAAGGCTAGCATGTCAATTACATGTAATGCTGTACTGAATTACAGCTTGCTCAAAGGGTGACCCGAAAATTGTTTTTCTTTGTGCCCTGGTGTTATAGACAGAATTTGTATGTACTAGCTGTACTTTGGTGGCCATTGTGGAGAGAGACAATGTATACTGAATGTACAGTGGAACCTGCAAATTAGCAGAGACACACAGAACACTTGCTAGTGTGTACGTATTGGAGGTGTCTACTTATTTGCGGTTTCATTTTATAGGCAAGAAAGGTTTCTGACTCACCGAAGCTGATTTCCTCTCACTATAGGGTGTCTGCTTAATATGGTTTCACTCTACATGTACAGGTATATAATGTGTACTTGTCTGGATGAAAAACGGGTGTTCGTTGTTAAGAGATGGCTATTAGTGGAGGTTTGATTATGATATTTACCTAAGAGATCACAAAGCCAAGTGAAGACCAATCCACAGCTCTGGGTCTGGGCTTGTTTCTGTGCCATGTACTCTTGAGTCTTCTGGGCAGACAAGTGAGTCTTGTTGTCTGCATGTTCATGTACAGTACCACTCAAAAATAAGCTACATGTACCACTGTTTCAGGAGTTGCCTCTGGTCTTTCTTGAGTTTTTTATTGTTCCTCACACGTGCACTGTTGTTTGTTTGTATTGCACACCCCAGTACTTCCAAGCCCCTTCACGTTTACAAGTTGTTTTAATATCAAAGTAAACAAAAGTACACTGTACATGTGCATATATACATTGTACATTATTTTTCATACATGTACATGTAGAGTTTAATTGCTTTAAAGCAGGGCTCAAAAAAAGTGCCGTCCGGTCATCAAGGACAACTAGATTCTCTTGCCAGGCAAGATAATTTGCATGGTCACTTGCCCAATAGGCAAGGGTCCACGCAAGTCATCTGCCAACTAAATTAAAAAAAATAATAAAAATAAAAGTACACTGTAAGACTTACCCAGGGAAAGCAAAATTTGAGAGCTATAAAATGATTGAAATTTAAGCCATTCTACAAAATCAAAAAGGCTAATCATTCAACCTTGAGTAGTTCTCTAGTGTCAGTGCTGTGTTCATTTACTATCAGTAGAAATAAGCAAAAAAATAATTCATAAGAGTTTACTATTTATTATTTGTTTTTGGTTCTCAAAGTGCAGTAGATTTCACAAAGAGAATCTTTCAAGCTTGTAGAAAATTATACAGCAGCTCTATCAATAATTGAAGGCTTTCGTGCAGAAAAGGCGTATGTGGCATTTTGGGCTGATTTTTATTTTTTGTAGGATCGAGCTAATTTTTGGCAGACTGACTTGTTTCATGAAAAGCATCATTGCGTAATTGTTTTTGTTGATTTGCGCTTCATTTTCGAGAAATAACGAGCGGCACCTTTTGGAGCGAATCCTTCCAAGGTGGATTTTGACGCGGTGCAAACTTAAACGGTTACTTTTAGCAGCTTCGACAGCACGGTTTTTTTTTAAATGGATATTTTGATTTTTGAAAGAAGTAGAGAAATAGACCGCAAAAAAAAAAAAATTGACGAACCTTGTATTGAACCAGTGTCACAACAAAACAAACTCGCAACTGGCCAGTTCAGTGCCTTATTCACTTGTGCTAACAAAGCAACAGTAAGAAAATTGCGTAATTATATGAATAATAAAACTAGCGGCAAATACCACACTTCGGTGACTTCATCGTTTAGCAAAACAAAGGTTTCTTTTGTTTTTCACTCAACAAAAGATCTCCGAAAGATACCCTTGGAAAACCGAGTTTTTTGTGTGAGTTTTTGATATGAACAATGTAGGTTCTAACAAATATTTTACCAACATCCTTGTATCAAGGTTCTAAAGCTTTACTATTCAGGCCTTATTTGCTCAATTATGATAATTTATTCAAATTCCAGGTCCTCCCATGTCAATCTCCATGTCTGAACCAAGTTTTTTTAAATTTATTTTTGTTAAGAAACCTAGAATAATTTTGCCATCCCTAAAATATGTACAAGGCTGTGGTCTAAGAAAAATTACAAGGAGCCCAGAGGTTCCTAACCACGAACTCCTGGGTGCCCAGCACTTAAGCTTGTATGAAAAAAATAGGTTTTTCTTGTTGCCCAAAGGCAAAAGTTAGTTGCCTGTGAAACCCGGACACTTCTAGAGTACAGCCCTGCACGTACATTCATTCTGACTGCTTTTTTTATGGGTGGGTAATTTGTGTTTTAAATTTCATGAATCTATGGGTGTACATTTTTGAAAAGGGTGATTTTTCGGAAACACTCTCATAATAATAATTATTATTACTGTGCTCCTTGTTTGTCTTATAGTTAAAATTTTCGTTAGGAAATTAATTATTTGAAACAGGGTGAATAGCACCACAATTTGGATGAAAAAAACATGTTTTGGTCTTTGCAGTGCTTTCTAATAATATTTGTAGTAGGAGAAAGTTTGAATGAAGTAAGTAAAAAGCACCATTGCAGGAAAAAACATCAATGCTTTGGTGTTTAAATTTTAAAACTATTCATGTGAATGTTATTTTAATGAATTATATAGTTGCAGGTTTGTTTCAAACATGTAATTTGAAGTCATTGTAAAATTAAGTTTAATGAAGTGCTGGTAATCACTTGGAGGCCAAGGGGTATCGCTTGGCATGCTTCTGAATAAATTTGGAGACTTGATGTATGTTACATTTTGGGAAGCAGTGATGCCAAGTGTCATGAATTATGGTACACTTTGAAAATTATTATGTTTATAAAAAAGTACTGTATTTTTTGAGGTAAATTTTGAAATTTATGAATTAAATCAAGAAAAAACACTTTTCTGTGGTTTTGTTGTTGTTGTTGCTTTAATTTGCTTTTGTTATAATTTTACATTGTGTTGATTATTATTGCCTAATCAAAACATAGCCTGCACAACAGGCAGTTTAGGGGTTAGAGTAATAAACAGGGCAGTTGTGTATCACACTTTGCACCTGACCTGCAGACTGGCCAAACTACAGCAAATAAGCTATCAATTAAACATCTCTGACAACATTACAGTAAAATTCCGGTCATTATTACAGTGGGAGCATTCAAACCATGAACACTTGACATGTTTTTGTACATTTATTGGTGACTATGGAATGAGCACTCCTCTTATAATGCTAAACACTTAAGTTATTATGAAGATAGCCTGTGAACAGACTCTCCGGTCGAGGATGGGTGAAAAGGAAGTGGGAAGAAAAGGGATACAGAGAGGAGGAGAAAGAGAGAGAAGGAGAGACCACAACCCCCACACCCTGTTCCTCCCTCAGTCACTTCTCTCTCAGTCAGTTCCTTTTTTGCCCTTCCAGCCTTCCAGCCAGTCTGTTCATAGGCTATTATGAAGAGGTCTCAATAGTTCCCCCAAAAATGTACAAATAACTGTCAAGTGTTTTTAGCTTGATTTGAGTGCCCTTAGTGTAATACCCACCCACCCCCCCACAAAATAATGCCCTCCCCCTAGATCTCTTCAAGCAGAAACCCCTACCATAACCCCCTTCCTCCACCCCCTTTATGTAGGGCTCCTGATGGTGCTGCTTAGTGTTTTATGAAATTGTCGTTTTCTTAGAGAGGTGTGGTCCAAGTATGTGAGAGGGTTGGGGGGCGCTTGGGTAATAGTAACATTGGTTTGAAACTCTTGGGATTTAAATTTTGCAATTGTTCGTTAGGAACATCGTGGCGAATTTTTAGGTTGAAAGGTTTTTGTAAGGACATTTTGGGGAGGGTGGATGAGGCGCAAGGAGGGTGAAAGATAGAAGTCTGACTCGATGTAAACGATTTCTCGATTCGCGCGCTGGGAACTCGCGCCAGTTGCGACTGGATGGTGTGGACATTTCAGTTCGATCTAAACGAAGTAGTGGTGTGAAAAGGCGGGAAAATTTGTGACGCGGCGCTCTCTTTTTTTAATGAAGCGCTAGGAAAGAAAGCAAAACAATTTTCCGAAATAAATTCCTTGTCCAAATCCCCCTAAAGTCGTCATTTATATTCGGGAAACTTGATACAGAAGATAAAAATTCACGGGGAGTTCCTGAAAATTTCAAGCCATGTGCGAGTCAAATGGGGCATGAGCTTACTAAAGCTTACTTATGAGTTTATAAGCATACGCGTTCACGGGACTTGTGTTGAAACGAAACTGAGTTCAGAGTCTGCAGAGTCGATCAAGAGAAACGGAGTAACCGACGAAAAATTAAAGGGTTAAAAAGTTACAAACTCTCAGTTAAATTGCTTAGAAGCGATTGAAACAGATACAAAGTAAAGGAAGCATATTTACCAAGCCACGTAAATACATTTTGCCATGCTTTTGAGTCTTGTAAAGGCTTTTCCAACTCGCAGTTTCGAAGGACTTGGATAGTATATATATTTTTCCTTCTTACGCCAAAGTTTTCAAGATTATACGCAAAGCGCTAAGGTCTAAAACTCTAAAAGTTAAAAAAGGCCAATGCCCAAGACTATTGCGGTGGATCACCGTGGAAAGCTTTTGGAAACCTGAAATTTGATACTACTGATCGTGATGGTCAGTTCATGGAAAGGAAATCTATTGCGTACTTTTAGTAGACTACGAGCAGTCTCTCTTTTCCTCGAAAACAGTGGAGAGAATGCAAAATAAGTAAGCGTGCGAGCGTGACGTGCTCGCAGTCACGCACGCTTACTTGTTTTGCGCTCTCCCCCACGGCAAGGAAAAGAGAAACTGCTCGCAGTGTATAGTTTTGGCGGTGGTTGTCTGTTAAAACAAATTAAATGAAAGATGCATTGAAAGGTAAACCCGACACAAGTCAAATCTACTAGATCAAAATAAGCTGATACAGACTTCGTACCCGGTCTACAACTACGTGATTAGAGAAACACTTGATTTGTTGAGGAGTGCATAAAAATGGGATAAAATAAAGCCCTAAGGACTTGCATGTTTGTTAAACCGTGGCATTCTTTGCTTCGTGTGGATTCCAAGTATATATGTAGGTGGATACTGAACTTTCGGAGATGGCTCGTGTTTGTGGAAATTCCGGAGATTTAGCGTGAAAAGGCGAGAAAAGGCAGGTGGACATGTTGGGCGGTAAACTGTAGAAAGTAAACTATTCACTTCTAAAAATATTGAAATCGGTTTCTTAATGTTTATCATCGAACGCTTTGTCCTCAATATTGGGTGACTGAAAGAGGAAATTTTCCTTCTTTCCACAAAAAAGAGACGGAAAAAAAACTAAAAACAAGTCGTGATATTAGTTAAATTGCTACCGGAAATGAGTTAAAGCGACAACAAAGCTGTGGGGATAAGTCGTCCTCAGAGTCCGGTGTTTCGAAAGTATCACGATACTTGCAGTCGATCCAAATTTTGAAATTTTCTACGATTTTCTTGCGCATGTGATGACTCTATTTTTCCAATTTTTTCAGCCTTGAAACAAACTAAAATTTGGAGGCCCGCCCCTCCCAATCTCTAAAGGAAAAGCGCTGGAAACGAGGTTGCATGCAATATGGCGAAGGTGCTGAGTAGTTTTGTGGGCCTGCTAATTCTCGCTGATTGGACAGAACAATACCGACGCAACCGTAGAACCGTTTGGAACTGAAACTATTTTCCCAGAGCCTCCTCGCTTCTCTTGTACATTTCGGCGCCGAAATTTTTCCTCTCCGTTTTTGACCTTTATTAGCCTTCACTAACAGCCACTAGTTTCCCGGGATGCAAAAACTTCAAAAAATCTCAGGAAATATATACAGGTGCACTCTCCAATTTCACCTTTGCAGTATTCGTTACAACTAAGTTATTGGCAATTAGGAAATAGCTCAAAGAAAATACTCGTGCTGATTGGTTAAAAATTGTGCTTCTAGACTATGAGCTCGAGGTTTCTATTTAAACATTAGAGTGTTTCTGTCGAGGAACTATCGGCTGACAGTTGCCGCGGAAATGTGATGTTCTTAAGGTAATTCCTCTGGAATAAAACTGACAATAGATTTTTGTTCAAAACTTTATCCACTGAATATTTATCATATGATAACTTCAATTTTGAAATAAAAAAGGGGG